TATGTAAATCAATGTCTGTCATAAACCGTGTTCCTAAAATGTTATAAGATATACAGTACGTATTCAGTTGTGCATGATATATCAGAGGAGAGATTAACGGTGCAAAGCATCAAAGGGCGTCCAAGCAAGAAATGCAGCAAGTGAAGATGAACTAGTAGACATATGATGGCAAGATATTCTTAAAAACTTTTCAATGGTTAATTGGTTTTACCAGAATTGTATATCACTTATGAATGAGTGGATGAAAGGCATTGTTCATTATGATTTTTGGTAGGCATGCTAGAGATTAGAATATTACTTGTTTTTTCCACAGGAACTTGAAATTTTATCAATATTAACGATAATATCCAAAATATACAGGTCAATTATATTCAAAATATACTCCCCATATGGCATAAGTTTATTTATACTAGTATATTGGGGGTATTTTTGATATTATCGTTAATATTGGTAATTTGATAGAATTTTAGGCTCATGTGGAACATACAAAATAATAGAAGTCAAAATCAATAGTTCTTTTACGTTTTGGAAATAATTAAATATATATATAATGTTATATTATAATTGTTATCTGTTTATGGTTATAAATGTAACATCGTGATTATTATTAGCAAAGGATATATACAATCATTTATAAACCATTTACGCATGATCAACACCCCAATTGTGTATGTTATCGCTATTAGCTTAGACCCCTCTTAAGGTATCTGTTCACACTTAGTAAAAAATATGACACTGGTTATATTATTACCATGTTGATCATGTTGAGCATAATTGTATTTATTATACAATAATTGTTATTTTTTAAAATATTTTATGAATATTGTTTTCTTTTAACTTTTTTTTTCGTTTAATGTGCTATTTTTATATTGAGTTTTTATGTTTTCTACTATTTTTTATTAAAATTGCAAAATAAATTTTCAGAATTCAATTGTCATATTGACCGATTATCAGTCAAAAATTAACTGGAAAAAGTCAGCAAATTATGGTTAATCTTTCAATTTATTATATTGTTTATTCTTAAGTCATGTACATTTACATTCGTATTTTTTCTTATTAATTTTTTAAATTATCAATCAATTGAATGATTCATAAAATTTAATTTGTAACTTAGAAAAAACTCTCATCATCTTTACTAAACACGAATAACAAATTAGATAACAGTTTAGATGTTTCAAAGTTGATGGAATAAAAATGTACCTTTTACTCAATAATTGTACATATTTATTGTTTTTATCTCATATAAATAAAATAGGGCTCGGAACGAATAAGGAATTTGATGTTCGAATATTCGTTTTCCGTATTCGTATATATTCGAGTAATTGTTTTTATAACATTTGTTCCACATTTCTCTTTGACGTATACGTATCCGAAATTGATTGCGTCGAATACTATACTACTTGAATATGCTTTACAATTTGAAATAAATTTATAATTTGATTGCCTTTTGCAATTGTTCAGTTAATCTTATTTGTCTTATTAACAGGAGCTAACTCACGTGACTTGATCGACAGTAATATGACTAATCGTAGCCTCTTAGCCCAAATAACAAATTGAATCTTAACTTGTATTATTTTTTTTTTGTATTCATTTATTTATTTATAATTTGAGATAAGGTTTAACATATTTTTAAAATAAATTTAGCTAGAGTAATATCTACGGAATAAATATAATTCTGACGGAATATAGACACTTCCCATACTTTCATAACCGCCGAATATTGCGTGACGATTTATTCTTCTTCACAAATTGAAGACAATTATTGATTAATCGGGAAGATTATAGCACGGAAAACAATAAATTAGATAATTAAAATCGGAGAAAAAACATTCTTAACTGCTAAACAGGTAAATTGCAAACTGTGATACACTTTTGATAATCAAAATAACCAAAGTTTTCACAGTTAATTGGCGATAATCGTTGACACGCGTTATACAAATGTGTGAAAACCTGGTTAGGTAAAGGTCAATGGTTTAATTTACGATCTTTATTGAAATTAAAAGTAATAACAAAATTAAAAAAAAATCGAATATTTGTATTCGTTTTTCAATGTTCGAATATTCGGTAGTGTTTCGAATATTCGAATAGAATTCCCGGCCCTAAAATAAAATGAAACATGCTTTTGTTGTTGTTGTTTTTCTTTCGAATTGTATGTTTATGTATGGTCATAATAAATAAATTTGAGAGTTGACCTGTGTTTATTAATTATTGTAACCAAACTAAGTGACAAACGGTCAGTTTTGAAAAAAAACTTATCTATCTGTAACGATATCAAACATCTACTCCAAAACAGAGACCGGACAAAAAACGTGTGATACTATTCGCCCGTCTCTAGTAAATCCCGGTCAAAATAGACCGGGAGAGACCAGGAACTACCGATAGGAGACCGGCGAAAAGTAAATCCCTCTATAAATAGAATTTCGGACTTTCGATCACAATGTTGAGGTCATCAGCTTATTTACAGCTTTCGGATACATGTGTAACAATAACATACCATAACAACCCACTGTGTACTACAAAGTGTTTAATAAAAAAATCCCGAAGAGCGCGATTAATTGACGGAAAAGATTATTTTATTTGAATATGTTTGCATTGCGAAATTCTCCAGTTTGTTATTCATTGTACATATCGCAACATTTCATTTTTAATAATCAAACACCCTCATACCAATCGGATTGATCGGCTATTATGACCGACTAAAATCCCCGAGAAGTTGCAATTGCCCTTTTACAAAATCCGATTTCATTTCATTATTTAAAGGCGTCGCGCTTCGGAGCGGATGCCATAAATAAGCAGTGTTCACGGATCGCAGTATCTTGGGCCTTTCAAAGCTTTTGCAAAGTAACGTTTTGAGACGGTATCTCTTCCATACCTAGGGCAGAAAACCAACAGTAAAGTGGTAATAATAACCTAAAAGGTCCGTAATTCTTTTGAGTTTCAGTGAAGAGCCTGCTCATTCAACTCATTCAATTGAGTAAACCACATATAGATTGATTTGCTTTCTTTACTTGGTGTGTGGGGGATGGGGGCCAATATGTTTGTCGTACATTGCGTGTGAGTTTCTGAATTTCTAAACACATTATGTTATTATGAAAAGTATATCGATTTTTGTCCAAAATGATATTTTGATTGTTTTTTTTATAACTTGATAAAAAGACGCCATGCTTTATCCAATTAAAATGATAAAATATTTAAAAGAGTAAAAAAATCTTTACTGGGCCGACATTTGTATTGGTATTTTTCCCACGCAGATCACAACATGTCACGTACTATAGACAACGTGTATAAGAGAGTATAAGAGAAAAAGGCAAGCTAGAATGAAGCTTTAACGGTGCAATCAATTAGAATTTAAAGGCAGAATTAAGACAGGGACAAAGTAAATAGGATGTGGAGTAAGGTAGACAGTAATCCCTTTTTATTTGGGCAATGAAATTTATAATAATCTAATGGTTATTCATTATCTTAAGCTGGGAAATTATATATATACATGTACATGGCGCTTTTTCTTTTTTTGTAACTATTTAGTCAGTTTTTTTTAATAAACATTTCCATACATATAATTCATAGATTTTTGAAATGAATGAGAACCTTAACATTTTGAGAAGCGAAGGATGAATTAAATAAATGATAGTACTTTGTTTTCTTATATTGAAATATATTTTTTTATTAAAGCAAAGCCAAAAAAAGAATTGTTTAATATATACAAATATCTTCTTCATTATTGATTATCTTAAGCTAAAAAAAGGTTGCATTTTACAGAGGTGATTTGAAAGGCGGTTCGAGTGAAGGTGTTCATTTTGTAATCTAATTATGCAGAAAATTGGTGACAAATTACTGACCAACACACTTACTTGTTTTGCACGGGACGTAAAAGGAAATTATTTGCAGCTTAAGTCTTCTCATAGGAACGTGTATAGTCCATTGTTCAGTAGTGTTCACAAATGGAAAGCCGAGATACGCCATCGAAATTATCATCATTAAAGTCTGGCGGCAGGTTTCTCTCAATCCTTCATGCCAAGGGATATATGGATGAAGAGAAAAGCAAGTCGGAATATCTGAGAAAAAAAGATGAAATCTTTTATGTGTCTATGTATTGCTTATACAATGTACTGTAAAAGCAGCATACAAAACAGGCATTTTGACTACTAAATCTTTTTGATTCTACCAAAAAATTTAAAATATTTGGTATTTATTTATTTTGTTGCTATAAATATTTTATTATTATGTATATACAATAATGCATGAATTAAACTGAACATAAAACTTAAAAATGAAGCATCGCTCACTTTCATAAGACGCAAACGCTTTGAATCCACTTCCTAAACTCACTGCATTCATGTTTGGGCATGTTTCAAATGATAGAACTAGCTGTGTCTCTTCTGTTTCAACTACCAATGAGTCGTTTACACCATTAAAAGTGTGGTCGATTACTCTGCCAAAGTCACTGTCAAAGAGACGGTTGGATATCTTCAGGGTGTCAATACAAAAAGAAGGCACCTGTTAACAAAAAACACTTATGAATTGTTTTATCACTCAGGTCTGGTTTGATACATCATAAACTTTATATCTAGCTTGGTTTCAGATCATGCTTAGTGTAGTTATCTAGGTGGTAACGAAACATGACATTTATTTGTGTGAATAAGGACTTTAGCAGCATAAAGATATTCCTATTATTATTTTGATGTTAGCTAAGTATGTATTTCACTATGACGTACAATACAAGATAGACTAAATCCTTGCAATATGGCATGAAAACAAACCACCTTTAGTCATTCGGCAATGTGGCCCTAATGGAAGTTATTTTTTGGAAGGAAAAGTTCAACTCCGTAGCTTTTAGCGAGAGCTTTGACTATCCCGGCATTATGGGAATTGAATCATGTGTTGGAAAGGGCTAGGTTCACTTTGGGTGAAAAAATGCCCTGTTTCAGAAATTCATCAAAATTTCAGCAAAGATTAATATTTATGTGTTGAAAAAGAAACAAGAACAACTAAGCCATTTTTTCTATTTATTAGGTTACCATAGCAACCAAGTTAAATGCACCATTTTTTATATTTCTAACAAGTTAATTCCTTATAACATTGGCAAATAGCTAGATAACAGTCTCAAACACACAAACTTAACATCTCTCTAGATATAAAACAGATAATGTCAACATTTAAAAAAATGAACATTAAAAAAATAAATTTTCTACATAAATTTAATTTAAAATTCCATGGCAACGTCACCAATTTTCACATATTGTGATTCTGCAACTAGAGTCACAGAATTTTACAAATACTTGCAATCTATATTTCTTTTATATGTAAGCCTCTACTACAGTGATAGTTCCAAGATTAAGAATGTGAATGTATTGTTTTCAGTGTTGCCATGGAAACATAAACTAGTTTCATTTTAAACAAAAAAAGCTGTATGAAGAGACAGTTTGCATGTGTTACATTTTTAACATTTTGGGTGTTAATGAATTACGGTATACATTTAAATTTCAGAAGGTTTTTACTTTTATAGGGCATGGAAATTTTCTTGTTTCTATAGCAACACTGTTTGATTGGCTTTGGTGAGATGCATGTTTGAAGCAATTGAAAGATAAAGGGTACATAATGTTCTAAGAATTAGACAATAAAAGTAACTCAGTTAATATATAAATAAACCAGTAGCATTAATGAGCATTGATTAAGTATATTGGACAGATAAACATGATACATTGTAATTACAGTAAATAGTTTAAATGCTTCCAATGACAATTTAAATGATTTGAGCCGTGTCATGACAAAACCAACAAAGTGCGTTTGCGACCAGCATGGATCCAGACCAGCCTGCGCGTCGGCACAGTCTGATCAGGATCCATGCTGTTCGCTATCAGTTTCTCTATTTGTAATAGGGTTGGTAAGCGAACAGCATGGAACCTGATCAGACTGCGCGGGTGCGCAGGCTGGTCTGGATCCATGCTGGTCGCAAACCCATTATGTTCGTTTTGTCGTGAAACGGCTCATTTATACAGTACCGGTAAATTAATATCCTGCACTTTTATACAGATGTACAAGTTAAGATTAACATCACTGAAGCAATATAACATTATATATAATTACTTATATGTACATCAAAACATACAATTAGAATTTACAGTATATATTAATTTACATTTATTTATCTATAAATATATTAGTCAGCATTACTGTATTTAAACCTGTCAGATCTGGCACAACTGGGTGACATATTGAATGGAATTAATGCTGACTTCATATACACTTATTTACTTAATGGTTAAAGTTTTAGTTCAATATTTACATATTCTAAGAGAGTATGACACGCTGATTGAAACAGGATAATATTAGTTACAAGAATGTCTGACAGGCTATGTACATAGTTCAATATAAACAGTCATTAGATTATATAACATGAGCCGCTAGGGGTGGGTTATATTGCAAACAATCAATCATGCATGGCCATATAACCTGTTAGACATATTTATAAAATATATAACCAAGCAGAATCACTTTATTGAAAAAACTTTTGTTTGTACAGAATTTGAAAATAGAACAATTGCATTTGGATATAACAATATATCAACCACTATATGAGAGGAAGCTATTCCTCAACTATACTTTCTTCTGAATCTGAAGAGTCTATTGATTCTGGATTAGCTGAAGCATCCTCCAAATACTCACCCCAGTCTTTCACACCAAAGCTTGTTTCAGCTGTATGGACAGCCATGCCCAGGTACCATATGACTGCAGCAACATGAGAGCAAGTACCAACTGTCCTAGCCCCAGCCCTACATTTGCAATACCATGCAATTACATGGTCTTCATCATATTTTAACCACACAAGATATGATTTTGATGCTATATGGCGGCTCTGAAGTCTAACTCTTAGAAGGCCCGGAATTTCCTTGTGCAAGTGAAAGTCACAAGTACCACTAATATACTCCTGTACATAGCTTGAGCTCAGTTTTAACTGGTAAGTACCAAGAGTTAAAATTCTCAATATAGTTTCTGACAGTTTTGGAAAATCTGTCAATGATTCAGTAGTTGTCCAATGGGCTACACTTCTCCTAGCAAGATCATGTTCTTCCACAAAATCTTGAAGACAAAGATTGCCTGACAATCTATCCCGCATCTGGCTTGCTAAAGTTGAGTCAAGTTCTTGGGTTTGGTTGATAGGTGGCAGGTACTTATTACATAAGGCACAAATTATGCTTACATAATCACCTATGTATGGCACTTGGTTTGTTGGAAGAACATGTGAAAGATACTTCCACCTTTTGATCCTTGCATTTGCAGCCTCTACCACCCATCTCACCTGAAGCACAATTAAATATAATTGCAAAACATGTGTAATAATACAGTTAGAATATCCAATTTAAGATGTATAGTACAATGTACAAGTAAAGGATTGAATAAAAGTTGAATTCTGATAACCAAGAAATATTTTTCATTATTACATTATACTTGTTACATAATGAAATATTAAATAACTCTAGCCATGTTATATTACTTCTCAATTATGTCCCCTTCACCAGAATGTGACCTACTGTTACAATTTCAAAGAATTTGAGGGTCACCTGAGGTAAGTATTCTATAATCAGTAGTCTGAGAAGTGTTTCTGGTTTGTTTTTCTTTTGATTTTAATTAATAAACTAATTAATCTTAGGAAAAATAATTGAAGATTAAAGTTTTTTATGTTCTTATTATAATTAACTTAATTAATCAGGCAATATTTCTGTGATTAAATAAAAGAAAGAATAATTACTATGAACATTTGTATGCTAATCTTGCAGTAAACTATCTACATTATATTGAATAAAAATACAGTATTACAGTACATCATATTTAATGAGAGATAAGGTATCAAGAAGAAATATGATAATCTACAGAACAGTCTGGTCAACAATAGATGTTAAATGCATTTTAATTAAATTGGTTTTATTTAAAATAATAATATTTTATAATCCTAAATGTTTAATTATGAAATGACCAGCTGAAAATGTTCAATATTATTAAAATACATCCAATAATGTATGTATTAAGTGAATGATATGCTGTTAAAATGAAAAGTTGATAAAGTATACATGAAAATATATGAACTTATATTAAGTTGATAATATTATGCAATGTAATTTATCTTCTTTTACTTTAGAACTGTTCAATATTTCATATGTAAGAATTGAACATAAAATAATTTTCAATTAAAAGCTGTGCATTTAAATCTGAAATTGATAATAATAATTTACTATATATGTAGTTGATTATTTAAATTATTACCTTTGTTACAAACCTACTGGCATTTGCATCATCTGTTGTCATCTGTTTTTCTGTTCTTTTCATAAAGGCAGGCATTTCTGCTTGTATCCCTAGTTCCTTCATTAATTCAATAGCATCCCTAAAACCACGGTCTACTACAAAAATGTCACTGGGGTCAATCCATGATTTGATTTCTTGTATGTTGTTGTTTAAAATATGTTTTAGAATGGATGCATCATTGTTTTTTGAGTCAGCAAAATATGGCCCTAAAACACTCACAAAATAACCAGTGGTAGAGACAATTATCATGGGTTTAACTAATGGTCTGTGCTTGTGCATACTAAAGCTTCTCCTTTGGAATTGAAAGTTGTTGCTTTTGTTAATGTAAATATATGTTCCATCAAGAACTAGAATTGCCTGGTCATTGCTTTCAGCTAGAAGGTCTTGTGCTAATTTTCTGGTGTGTTTTTGAATGATTTCTTCTCTAGTAACATGTTCAAATCCAAGATGGGCTGGAACAATGATATCACAAAGAGCTTGTCTAGCTGAGTGAATTGCTCTTCTTATACTTGATTTTGTTATATTGAATATTGTTGATAATATTTTGTTTGAAAGTCCACATTTCATTTTAAAGAGGAAAATACCAAGTGTTGTTATGGAGGTTCTTGCTGGAGTGTTTTTTATTGAAGATTCAACATGTTGGTATAAATCAAGAAATTGTTCTTTGTTTAGGCCTGTTAAGTTGATTAAATCTTCATCTGTATAGGTATGCATACTGTCAAATGACATTCTCTTGTTTGAAGATTTTAAGGCAATTTCTCTTGTTTTATTGATGAATTCAGTAATAGTAGTTCTGTTCAAAAATGATTGTTCTTTTGTTTTCATGTTCACTAGTTCTTCTTTATTAAATTCGTTTAAGTTGTGATTGAAATGAGAAGTACAACATCTGCTTTCAGCTGTGATAATAATTCCATGTTCAATGAATACTGAATATCTTATATTTGCTGGTACAACTATGATTTTGGGACCTGGCTTTTTACAAATAAAACAGTAGGAATGGCTTTTGGATGTAGATTTAATGGGAAGCTGAATGGATGGTGGACTTTTACAGGCTGTAGATGTTGATGCTGTTGCTGTCTGATTTTCAGTAGATTTTCTTGATGTGTCTGAAACAGATGACTTTGGCTGTGCACTAGAAACTGGATACACTTTTTTGCTGCAACCTCCACAAATAAAATCCAAATTGGTTGTTTGCATCAAATAGAATTTCCGTAAATATTTAGCTATATTTTTGTTGACAGGTCTTCTTTGATGCAGTTTTAGCTTTTTTCTGCACAGCACACATATCTTTTGAGGCATCCTAGAAAAAAAGATGAATCATAAAAATATGCCTTAAATTTTATTAAATTATTAAAGTTAATAATCACTGCAGAGTATCTTAAATTAATCCTATATCATTTTGTGTTTTCCAGTCTTAAACTGAACAAACTTTTTGCAACCATACCAGTATTTGTGTTAAGTCTATCTTTTAACAATCATTTTTTTTTATATTTATCACATTTTTTTAATATTATAAAAAAAAACACTTTAAAATTCAAAGAAAATAAACAAATGAGTAAGACATTATCTAAAGAAAGTTGTTGAAAAAAAAAAAAAAAAAAAAAAAAAAAAGGTAGCAACCTGGTTTTGAACTCCGGCCTATCGGGTGGCAGCCACCGATTACATCCACTAGGCTATAGAGTACCTTGACTTTACCATCTGCAAAACAAATAAAACATTATCACTCTGTTGCTCCTTTTAAAACGATACTTTAAGGCTCTTTTCTGTAAAACTTTTAAATATTTCAATTCATTACCAAATATTTTAATTTCACTATTGATTTATCACTGTTCTTCTATAATTTTAAAAGTTGACATGTTGACGTCTGCGTCCGTAACAACACAAAATGACAGGTCGAAATAAACATTTTGATTCGATACAGAAATTGAATTTAAAAGTATTATCGTCACAAAATATAATTATACAAACGTTTTTACCTTTCGTTTCCAGTTTTGGCACCTACATCGCTGAAAAGCGTTGGAAAACGATCAGAGAGAAAAACAATAGCAGTCTACTTTCAGTTTCAGATTCAATGTCGAGTTAATTCCCTTGAATACAGTAGCGGTCAATTCTCGAACCAAAAGTTGGCGTTCGTACGCATTTTTCTGTTTCTTACGAGAAGCGGGTTAAACATAAATGTAATGTGCTATATTGTCTTTAGTATTTATTTATTAGCAAGACATAAACAAATGTTTTCCACAAACGGATACCATTTTTTTCTGATCAACCACGTATTCGGGCAGGACAAGTTCGGATAATGATTAGAAATAAAAACACGTAAAATATGTTATAAATCAGTTGCTGTCTAAGTTTATATAATTTTATTAAAGGTCTACATGAGTAATTAGTTTAGATAAGATTTTTTAAAGCAAACATATTGTTTTCATGCCAAATATCATGGGAATTATCAGCTAAGACCGAATTTCCATAGCAACAGCAAATGTCGGAAAACATTATTTTTAGATATGAAGAGCCAAACCCGACACCACCATATTTCGGCCACAGCTTTAGTATATATTTAGTATCATTACCTGAAAAGGACTTAGTGTCGCTTGTGGCTCTTCATATGTTATTTTAAGAAAATACGACAGTGAACGTTCTGAATTTCGCTATTTTGACAATTATGCATGGTTAATAAGTTGTGTTTTCTAGACATTAAAATACGATTTACTGTGATATTTTGTGATTTTTTGTTAGAATATAGGCCATTTCTTTTAAAATATGTAGGATGTCGTTTATATTTCATGGTTTTGCATTTGTAAAATTACTGGGCTAAAAAGCCCTGTTTGTGAACCTTGTCCTTTGAAAAAGAAATCAAAGTCCCCTCTAAACACCCTAAGTTGGAGGAAGTGGCTACAATCAACATGTGTATAGACTGAATTTTACGATACATATTTGGTGTCATTTTAAAATGTCTTTTAAAATTTTATATGTGACATTAGTTTCAAACGTGTTTACCTTTTAATTTAACATATAAACTTACCTTGAGGGTGGTTAATTCAATATGTGTAAATACTAGTTTTATGTAGTGATTTGTGGGATAGGTGATTATCCACTGATAAATCTGATTTAATTGGTAATGATTTGGGAAACCAATATTCGTTAGTATTGTCCTATCTTCGTAAATCTCGCTAATAAATGCCACCTCCTTGTTCATGGCATGTCCAGGGACTTTATACGGTTGAATTAGTGCTTGAAATAAAAACAAAATATTTATAAAATATTTATGTGTAAGTTATAATTTTTAAGCACAATCTAATCTCTTTCGCTAAATTAAACGTTGTAGGTTCAAAGCAAATAATGCAAATGTTTCCTTTAAGGGGCTTAATTATAAATCAAATAAATAATAATGGTTCAAAATGATTTTTTCTCTTCAACAAGACTGAACAAAATATGTTCCTATTCATGTATTACAATTAAAATACTAAATAAAACCAATTAGATATATTCCATAAAGCTGAACTTAAGCCGTCAATTGTATTTTATTGTATTAAGGATTTTTCCAGCTTTGTATTTGAATCTCTCCATTAGAACAAATAAAAAAATCAGCTACCAGCAAAACATAGCCCGAGTCTATCAATGGCTAATCACTTTCAATTTCGGCTGGAAAAGAGATTAATATTCTTACCACTAGAAGATTTACATCCCAATAATTCAAACCGTAAACAGGTGATTGTCGAAATGACGGTCTTCTGAACAATAATTGTAATAGATTTTGCTGATACACGATGTTGAAACCAGAAATTCTGAGGATGTGAATCCACTCTTGACGTGTCCATGTTTAATGTCTAAAATTATTAGATAAAAGACATTCGTGTATAGTAACCGCGCATGCAGGTATGCGTTAACGAAGCAGAAAACATGCATTAACAGAAAGATGTACGCGACAACGCATCGTTGTTGCACATTTTAAAATAAGTTTGACACAAGGTGCAATATAAAAACAGCCAAATGCAATGATGGTCCCGATAGTTGCATTATCAAAACATAACTGCATTGCAAAATGGTTTCTTTATATCTTATACGGATATACAGATTTAGATGTAAACTTTTTAGCAAGCATAGCGCTAATGCACATTTTTCATGCATTAACATTTGCAGAAGCCATAGGACGAATTTAATTCCTCGCCCTGGGGTTTGGCTTTTCAATTTATCCTCGCAATTCTACAAATGTTCATACACAAAAAATATGCATTAACCCTTTAATGTAATTTTCAATCGAAAATGAATACAGACAATTACTATAAAGGTATGTTTTAAAACAGAAGATCCCTTTATAGCAATGAAATTAAGTCGAATAGTTGACAATAATTATTGCCGACTCGATTACTATGTGGTCTTGAGAAGTAAGATAAAGTTCAAACCTGTCAAATTCAAAATGTTGTTACCTTGTTTAAGATGTTTGTACCGTTGTTGTCCATTGCATGTAAAAGGAATGACTTCTGACCAAAAGAAAAATAGTTCATAAGTTCGACGGACAAAGACAGTTCTGTTTCCTTGGTATTGTAAATTGTAATACCTTCCAGTACCAGTAATTCTTTAAACACAATCTGAAAAGAACAAATTGCAAACAATCAAACTTGTGAAACTGACGTAATCTTTTAGCCATTAGATGTTTGGCTTTTTTGTTTGGTATAAGTCACACCAATATTACTTATTGAAGGCGATCTAAAAAAGATGCAGGTAAAAATAATTGCGAATCACTCTGTTACTTTTACTTTAACATTATCAAATTTACATGAACGATCAGTACCAAGTCTTGTTGTGCATTTTGTCAGCATTTTCCGGTTCAAGCAAAATTAGACCAAAAACACAACATAAACTTGCAGACTATTCTTTATTGTTTCATCGCATTGCATTTCAAGTTCCATTATTCATAAACAAAACACATTGAATCATTAATGACACCCTACGCATTTTAATAATAAACGTTACCTCAACAAATGGTTGATCATCCTGGAAATCTGAGCACCAGCCATGGTGATATGGCCTTGCTTTGTCAGGTGTGTATGCAATAAGAGCAGAAGATGCTGAAATTTGATCATCCGTTATACCATTGTCACTCATTCCAAGTTCGCTATTGCATGTCGCTGATACATCTAATTAATACAAAAATTAAAGCAAACAATATTACACTGAATAAATTTTTTGTCTGGCACTTCAAACAAAAAAGAAGAAAAAGAGAATTACCTAATTACAAAACATGAGTATGCAACAGTAATAACGATTAATTCATTTTGTTAAAGGTGATGGTTGAATTGATATTAAATTTATGAACACTATATGTACAATGGTTGTCATGTTAAAGTTTCATATCGTCTATAGGCTATGACCTTGTTCACTGATCTAGATCTACTGTGGTCGATTCATATTTAATTTATCTATGGACTTTGGCTGAGTTCTGTTTTCTATTTATCTATGTACCTCAATAATGAAAACATTAGATCACGTCAAATTATGTTTCAAAGATATTTTGTGAAAGACAATATAAAAAGCAATTATATTGGATACCTACCATTTATGACACGTTCTGTATACACGTTGATTATTTGTCCAGGGATCTCTTTGTTCACAGAAACTGCAACGAAACGCCCCTCTAATGTCCTTCATATGAAAATATTATTGTTTTGTATAGATTAAGCAATACACAATAACACAGTATTTTAACAAAATTAAAATTTTTAAACATTATGCGAGCAGCTAAAAGATTTCTATAAATCATGCCTTAAATATTCATATTTTCGTCCTCTCAGTTCTTACCCAAGAATGATTCTCCTGTTTAGTAACCAAAGTTCGGAACTTAAGACGTGGTCATTGACCTTTTTCTGTGCTGTTGATTCAAATAATTGCTAAGAAGACTCTTAAACTTTTGATTAAATGAGGAATGAACAATCCATTGTAAAATGACCTTATTCATGCTTTGTTGATATATTTAAAAATAATACAATCAAGAGTGTATTTGCAAAATTGACAGGTTTTTGCTTGTTTGATTGTTTTGCGTTTTACGTCACATCGACACAGTATCGGTCATATCGCGACGTTCCAGCTTTACTGGTGGAGGAAGACCTCAGGTGCCCTTAAGTGCATTATTTTTTAGACACGAACGCGCACGTGAGTAGAACTACCGACGTTCCGTAAGCTAGCTGGATAGCTTCTCACATGAAAGAATCCAAAGTCCCTGTCGGGATCGAACCCACAGCGTTGACGGGCAAGTGGTTTGAAGTCAACGACCTTAACCACTCGGCCACGGACGCCAAAAAATTAACAGGTTAATGTTTTTCAGAGAAAAGGTATTTTTTCAGAATAATATAACTTTGTTGTATGTGTCCCTTCTTATGTTTGACATTCGTAGTTTTTCTTTTTAATTGCATGTATTTCAGTCAGAATTTAGAATTTTTTCTTTTCATGCAAGAGGAAATAATGCGTTTTTGTTTCTGCAATATGAATTACGTATCTGTGTGTCGTACGTGCGCGCCAGCTTGCTTAGTAGTATTTTTTGGCTGTTTTTTTCTAGTTTTTTGGTTGATTGTTTAAAGCACAATTTAATCTCTAGAGAGTTCTTCTAAGATAACTATGTACAATATAGAATTTGTGTAAATTGATTTACTTATATACCTCGTAAACAACAAACTCATTGAGGCTGTCGCTATACGGCAAACTTTAACGTATTTGC